CTCACAGTTCATAAGAAGGCTTTCTTCAGAAAATAGATTTGTTTGGTTTTTATCATACAACAGGAAAGTATTTCTCATTCTGAAGATACCATTGTCTATTAAAAATCATTTACCCATGTTAGTTGTTCATTACCTGCAATTCTTTCCCAACATTGCTATTCTAATTAGTTAACTCATGCACACAGCCCATAAAAATCACTTTCAGTTACTCCAAAAACATTTTTCCTACCCCAAAACATTTTAAACTATAGGTCACCCTTTCACTAAGAATAAGCCCACAAAGCAGGCAAACTCAGTTGACTGGAAGGAACGTTGGTATCTGAAATGACATTTTTATGCAAGAAAAAGCTTATTTTTTAATGAATGTGTTATACAGAGAGATTGGTTGTCCAGTGTGTCTATTTTAATAGTACTTAATAAGTAATAAATAATAAAGCTGAGCTCATCTTACTAGTGGATATCTGTGTGAAGTACATGGTAATGAATGAGAACCCCTAATAAGCATAATTCCAAGGATGGATCTTTGGCGCTCTGGGAGTTTGGTATTGTGCCCCAAAGGCTCTTGTAAATCCAGCTGTAGTTCTTGTTCATCGTTTAGAAGATTAGGGGCTGATAAGCGACAGTCAAGCCTTATTAGAACAGGCTAAGGCAACAGGAAATGTTAATTGGGTAATTTAATGCACAAGGAGACAATAAATACCTGCATTGTGGTTCAGATGCTGTTTCCACTATTGATTCGTTCATGTCTTATTTTGTGAAATTCTCACAAATTTTTGGTGGAGAGACTGTAAGACAAAGTCTAAGTTTAAAAACACCAGAATACTTCTATTTTCCATGGCTCCCCTTTACCTCCTGTGTTACTGAGGGACTCATCAGCAGCCCTGCCCTTGGAAGCCAAAGAATGAAGACTACTCCCTTGCCCAAGGACTCCTCCAACAAAGCAAAGGAGAGACCCAAGGTATAGCAGCCATCTGTAGTGAAACAGTGTCTCACCATCTAACTTGTGTTGTGGTTTCATCACAGCGTGTGCACACAGCAGGAGCGCAATGACTGGTAAGGGGTCTGGAGCACAAGTCTGATGAGGAGCGGCTGAGGGA